ATGTCTCCCATTGGTGTTAAAATGTCTCCCATTAGTGTTAAAATGTCTCCCATTGGTGTTAAAATGTCTCCCATTGGTGTTAAAATGTCTCCCATTAGTGTTAAAGTGCTCCCATTGGTGTTAAAATGTCTCCCATTGGTGTTAAAATGTCTCCCATTAGTGTTAAAATGTCTCCCATTGGTGTTAAATGTCTCCCATTAGTGTTAAAAATGTTCTCCCATTAGTGTTAAAATGTCTCCCATTGGTGTTAAAATGTCTCCCATTGGTGTTTAAAATGTCTCCCATTGGTGTTAAAATGTCTCCCATTGGTGTTTTAAATGTCTCCCATTGGTGTTAAAAATCTGTCCCATTGGTGTTAAAATCTGTCCCATTGGTGTTAAAAATCTGTCCCATTGGTGTTAAAATGTCCCATTGGTGTTAAAATCTGTCCCATTGGGTTAAAATCTGTCCCATTGATATTAAAATGTACTCTATTGGTGTTAAAATCTGCCCCATTGGTATTAAAATCTGCCCAATTGGTGTTAAATCTGTCTCATTGATATTAAAATGTCTCCTATTGGTGTTAAATCTGTCCCATTGTGTTAAAATCGTCATTGATATTAAAATCTGCCCCAAAGGTGTTAAAATCTGCCCTCATGATAAAATCTGCCCTCATAAAATAGGCTGCATGTACACCTGAATATAATTCATCTCTGTACAAAGATTATATCTTGAAATAAAGAATCTTAATTTCTTTAATCTTTAGATGACATTCAGTTCATTAACTCAAGTTCGATTCAGTACAAGAACTCGATAAATTAATTTGTGTTACAGTCTAGTAGGGCCATAGTTACAGTTTTTACATGACATGACAGGACATTCTAGTCATGAAGTTAAATTCTCGAAGCAGCGACCATAAACGGTAATAGCATTCACAAGTTTGTCTCTTATGTGCGAGTTTTGTACTAGGAATAACAATAATGTCGAGTGATACTTGGAGTATACCTGGAGAGGGTTTCAGGGGTCAATGCCCTGGCACCCCGGTCCATGACTGGGCCTCGTGGTGGATCAGGACCTGATCAACCAGGCCGTTACTGCTGGCCACATGTAAACCAGCATATGGCTCACAGCCCAGCTGGTCAGCTGGGCTGTTTGTCCAGCTCCCTCTTGAAGACAGTCAGGGGTCTTGAAGACAGCTAGGGGTCTTGAAGACAGCCAGGGGTCTTGAAGACAGCCGGGGGTCTTGAAGACAGCCAGGGGTCTTGAAGACAGCCAGGGGTCTTGAAGACAGCCAGGGGTCTTGAAGACAGCCAGGGGTCTTGAAGACAGCCAGGGGTCTATTGGTAATCCCCCCTCTTGAAAAAGTACATTAATTTTTGATGCACATGTTCATATTTGAAAAAAATCACTATATAGAGGTTTATAAGAGTTGACTCTGTATAGAGGAGCTTTATAAGAAAAGGTGACTGTATATAGAGGAGCTCTGTAGAAGAGCTAACTTTATATTGTCCAACTCTTGAAATTTTTCAAAAGTATATGCAAGAATTTTACATATGATCATAATTTTTCAGATTACTGGAAATAATTCGACAGCGAGGCCTACAGTAAACACTGAGGGACGGCCTCTCTGGATACACCATGTGTAGGAATCCTACCAGGAAACACTGAATACTGCCAGTTAACACTGCAGGAAACACTGAAGGAATCCTACCAGCAAACACTGAAGTAATACTGCCAGCTAACACTGTGAAGGAATCCTGCAGGAAACACTGTTGGAATCCTACTGGGGAACACACTTTGGTTACCCACATTGCAACAATCCTTGACAGACAGTGCACACAAAAAGTGCTTTTTGCTCACTTTTGAGAATTACACAACACTCCTCAGGCATTGATCATTCATCGACAGCCTAAGTGCCGGAATAAATTATTCCATAGTACCACTACTGGGAGTGCCGTTGTCAAAGATATTTAATCGGTTGTATAATTTACCTGTGGTGCTGTTATTGGCCGTTCTGATTTTGGAGATACCTGATTGGTCAAGTGATGGATGCAAAAAGGTACTTTTGTAATGAACATGTTTAGAACACTGGTTTAATATCTGGTGATGGCAGATGTTAAAACACATCCCAAGTTACTACATATGTTAAGACATGCTGTTTGACACTTCTATATATATGCTGACTTCTGTTATTAAGATAAATATTTTTTAATCTGCACCATTGTTGTAGCATAAATTTGTTAAAGATTAAGATAATTATTTTATTTCTGAAATAATTTTGTTATAATTGGCCAAGAAAAGCACAGAAGGCAAATTGAAAATGATATTTGTCAGTTGTGCTGAAATTGCAGCCGACTAATTTTCATTGAAGTGAGGGATTTTCTCACCGTTAAGATGAACGGCAGTGGAGGAGAGAGCGTTGAGTACCACCAGGTGTTGGCACGGGTAACTTGCCACGAGAGTGCTGTTGCCATGTTCAAGCAGGATAGCAACAGCACTCATCTCTGGTTGACGAGTCCGAGATGGTTGCCAGCCTCACTGTGGTCACTGACGAATGTTCAATGGGCGGCGATGTTACCAATGAGATTGTGATCACAGCAGACGAAGCCTTACCTCTCTGCCGATGGGAAAATTGGAGCCCATGAAGCGTAGGAGAAGTGGAGGCAGCACTGACCCCTGCAGAGCTCTGACGACGACAAGACACTCGAGAGTCAGATTGTTTTATTCACCAGCAAGATCAGCAGCAGCACAGCGCCAGCAGCTGCATCACCAGTCGCACCATAGACACATCCATGGGGCGACACATCAGCAGATCTTGACGGTGCAACAGCCTCAGCAGGCAACACAGGTTCTGACAGTGAGCGCCGTCCAGCAGCAGCAGTCATTGCCACGAGCTCGTGGCCAGTCAGGTGAGGTGGCCATCAGACCGAACATTAGCGAGATAGTTTCTACCAGCATGACGACTGTAAAATGCGAGTAGTTTTTTCTCTACTTCCTCTCACAAATACACTTTCAAATGGCACTGTGCGAGTCAGTAATTTACCGGTGAACTTGTTAGCAAGTCCTACTACTGTGAATACAACAGTAGAACAACCAAACAATGGGCCGTGCATGTGCTTTGTGTGTGGCCGCCACTTGTCTGATCCAGCGAGAGGTTTTACTATTTAAAGACGGGAGAAACTGTTCAACACCCCAGGTAACTCTGCTAGAACTTCTGAGTGACGTACTAAACCAGATGGTCGTTACTAACACGTGCGCCGTCGACCTGTGCTCCAGGTGCTCGGAACTCATTAATGAGACAGACAGTGCGTACACCCACCTCAATCGACTCAAGAAGCAGATTAACTTACTCTTCAGCAACAATCAGCGACCCAAGTTAACCTTTCAGGTCTTGCCAAAGCCAAATAATTTCAATGCTGTTGGTGCAGCTCCGGTGTCCCGGGTGTATCAGCCGCCACAGCTAAACTTAGATGACCTGGCAGCCACGCGGCCACGCCGGGGGCGGCAAGCTCGCAAATCGGACGTGAAGAAGGAAGAAATCCTGGATTAAAAGCTGAAGATGACCCCCAAGAAGAAGGGTGGACGGCCACGGAAGCCGTTTGCTTGTCACATATGCAAGCGTAAGTTCCTGACCAAGGATATGGTTGCTAGTCACATGGTCAAGGAGCATGATATCCACCCTGTGGGTCTGGCCAGGCCTATACTAGGCCCGCAAGGCTCTCCAGAGCCTACGACCATCGTGCTGGAAGAGAGCAGGAACGATGCTGCCAGCTTTGGGGCTTCAGCAGATGAAACAGGAGCAGGAGGTCACTAAAGAGAGAACATCTTTGGTGCCTCTGAAGACAAGCCCCATGAAAATTGAGAGTGTGCCTATTACCCTGGGCACCAACCGGCCCTCAGGTTTGCCAAACCCCTCCTGCCCATAGCCCCCAAAGTGAGCACCGACGTAGCCTCTCAACTCCTGGCATCCATGCGACCAATACAACCTAAACCTCAGACCATGATACAAACCGCTCCAGATGGCTCAATGGTTTTGTTGATGAATCCCACCGTTGTGGACTCCTCGCCAACTGTCATTAAAGTAACACCTGGATACATGAACCTAAACCTGGTCCCCATGCATGTGACAAATGTAACAAGACTTTCCTTGATGAGAAGAGTCGCAGGATGCACCGCATTGCTGCACACGGCTTGAGAAAAAGGAAGAGAGATGAGGAAGATGAGGATGATGATGATGGGGAAAAACGAGACGTGACGAAAAACTGTGGCATTGTCGTTTGTGCGAAAACTTCCTTCGTGAACAAGAGGACCCTGACAGAGCACCGAAAGGGTTTTGTTCACACTCGTATCGGAGATGGCGGTAGTGGCAACGACCTCAGGAAGGACCGCCTCCACTCGTGCGACCAGTGTGAACAAATGTTTAGCTACAAGTACGAACTGGAGCGCCACAGAGAGAACACACGTGCCGTACACGCAGATGGGCCCTCACGAGTTTGTGTGTTGTGTGTGTGGGTTGAAGGTCGCCAGTAAGGCTGCCCTCAAGATCCACCTCCATCGCTTTCACAGCAAAGATGACGAGACAAAAGATTACCTGTGCTCCGAGTGCGGCTACATGGCATCCACCAAGAAGGCTTTCACCGATCACCAGCGCATCCACAGTGATGACCCGGGGCCCAAAGCACGGTGTACCATCTGTGAGAAAGAGATGCTGGCATCATCATACAAAATCCACATGCTGAGAATGCATGGCGAGCCCAAACACCCATGTGAAACGTGCGGCCAAAGGTTACCGTCAGATCAGATCTCATGCGACACCTGAACACCATCCACTCTACCCTACGGCCGTACGACTGCGACCTGTGTGGCGGGAAGTTTGCCACCTCCGACGCCCTCGGGTTTGTCTGGGTATTTTGTTTTCCTTGACGGGGGTTTCCTATCCCCAAAGCTAATTAACACTGTGCAGCTATTACAGTTATCAGACTTACAGGTGGTCCTCGACTGATGGAGTTACATTCCTACAGATGCATCGTAAGTTGAAAATATCTTGTCGAATATGAATATGACATAATAAATAAACAAAATAACTACTGTTACTGAATAAGTAAATAATTACTGTAGCTAAATGCCTGTATTGAAAAATAAATGAATACAAGTTTACCCTATCAATAAATGTACAGAAATTGCACAATGCAAAAAAGTTGTAGATGTATTGAACTATCATTAAGTCAAAATATTGTAAAATCAGGAGCATCTGTAATATTATTATTGTGTTGCATTATAGTTGTATTTTTGTAATTATTAACCCATAAACGGTCCAAATGTATATATACGTTTTTTTCAGCATTTGAAAGTACAGTGGACTCCCGGTTAACGATATTTTTTCATTCCAGAGTATGTTCAGGTGCCAGTACTGACTGAATTGTTCCCATAAGGAATATTGTGAAGTAGATTAGTCATTTCAGACCCCCAAACATACACGTACAAACGCACTTACATAAATACACTTGCATAATTGGTCGCTTTGGGGAGGTGATCGTTATGCGGGGGTCCACTGTACAGTGGTCCCTCAATAATTGTCCGGCCTGAAAGTCGTCCATTTCGGAAATAGTCCTGTTTTTTCGTCAAAATATTGGCTCGGAAATGGTCCGGTAACTCGCTAATAGTCCTTCGTCCCGGACGCGTACTCACGGTCTGAGCGGCCTCGAGCCGCCTCGGCCTTTCCTTCCCAGCCAGTGTGCCATTGTTTACCAGTGAGCTACAGTCCCTCACGTGCTCCAGCAAAATATTTCATAATATTTCATTTATTTTAGTGCTTGCAAGTTATTTAAGTGCTAAATAAGCTACCATGGCTCCAAAGAAAGCTCCTAGTGCCAAGCCTTTGGTAAAGAAGGTGAGAAATATGATTGAATTTAGAAAAACATCATTGAACAATATGATAGTGGCGTACATGTGGGCGAACTGGCCAGGATGTATAAACAAATCCCGTACAACCATATCTTCCATCATGGCCAAGAAAAAGGAAATCAAGGAAGCTGTTGTTGCAAAGGGGGTAAATATGCTGACAAAAATGAGATCACCAGTACTCGAAGATGTTGAGAAGTTATTATTGGTGTGGATAAATGAGAAACAATTAGCAGGAGACAGTCTTATGACGTCGCTTATTTGTGAAAAGGCTAGGCAGTTGCATGATGATTTGGTAAAGAAATTGCCTGCAACTAGTGATGATGTGAGTGAATTTAAGGCCAGCAAAGGCTGGTTTGAGAGATTTAAGAACCGTACTGGCATACACAGTGTGGTAAGGCATGGTGAGGCTGCCAGTTCGGACCACAAGGCAGCTGAAAAATATGTGCATGAATTCCAGGACTACATAGAGGCTGAAGGACTGAAACCTGAACAAGTGTTCAATTGTGACGAAACAGGCCTCTTTTGGAAGAAAATGCCAAAGAGGACCTTCATTACACAAAAGGAAAGGCAATGCCAGGACACAAGCCTATGAAAGACAGGCTGACTCTAATGTTCTGTGCTAATGCTAGTGGGGATTTCAAAGTGAAGCCATTACTAGTGTACCATTCTGAAAATCCCAGAGTGTTCAGGAAAAAACAATGTTATGAAGAGTGAATTGTGTGTGTTTTGGAAATCTAATAGTAAGGTATGGGTCACGAGGGAAATTTTCGTCGAGTGGTTCAATGAAGTGTTTGGCCCTAGTGTGAAGGAGTATCTCCTGGAAAAGAAATTGGATCTCAAGTGCCTGCTAGTAATGGATAATGCACCTGCTCATCCTCCAAACTTGGATGACCTAATTCTGAAGGAGTTTGGGTTCATCACAGTAAAGTTCTTGCCCCCGAATACCACTCCTCTCCTCCAGCCCATGGACCAGCAGATCATTGCAAACTTTAAAAAACTCTACACCAAAGCAATGTTTGAAAGGTGCTTGAATGTGACCTCAGAAACTCACTCGACCCTACGAGATTTTTGGAAAGAACATTTCAGTATTCTCCTTATAGGTAAGGCTTGGGAGGGAGTGACTACCAGGACTTTGAACTCTGCTTGGAGAAAATTGTGGACAGATTGTGTCCACAAGAGGGATTTTGAAGGGTTTGGGGCTGACGCTGATAAGCCTATGTCAGTTGTTAAATCCATTGTGGCACTGGGGACTTCCATGGGGTTGGATGTGAGTTTGGAGGATGTGGAAGAGTTGGTGGAGGACCACAACGAAGAGCAAACCCCACCGAGGAGCTGCAAGAGCTTCAGCAGGAACAGCAACAGAGGGCAGCTCTGAATCTTGCTGCAGAGGAGGAGGAAGAGAGATGGAGGAAGGTGCCTTCTTCAGAAATTAAGGAGATTTTTGAAATGTGGGTAGGATGGAAAGATTTATGGAGAAACATCACCCAGAGAAGGATGTTGCAAGCCATATCGGCAACTTGTACAGTGACAGAATTTTGGGCCCATTTTAGGGAAGTTTTAAAGAGACGCCAGAAACAGAGCTCTCTGGACAGTTTTTTGCGAAAACGGGAAACTCCAGTGACTCAAGGTGGTCCTAGTGGCATTAAGAAACAGAGAAGAGAAGTAACCCCAGAAAAGCAATTGTTACCCGAGGTGTTGATGGAAGGGGATTCCCCTTCCAAACAGTAATTCATCCAATCAGTCTCATTCTCCAGTCTTCCATACACTAAGAAGACTCGCCAATAAAGGTAAGTGTTATGCTGTTAATGTTTCATTCATCATTTCCATTGTATGTTTATGTACTACATCTATATTTCATGTAAAAAATTTTTTGTTTTAATACTTCTGGGTGTCAGGAACGGATTAATTGAATTTACATTATTTCTTATGGGGGAAATTGATTCGTAAATTGTCCATTTCGATAATAGTCCCACTTCCAGGAATGGATTATGGACGATTATTGAGGGACCACTGTATGTAAAAAAAGTAGATTTTTTTTTTTGTACATTTGAAAATATGTAAAAAAACTTTGATCTACTTTTGTAGCGCTACACATGTGAACGTAGCTCTGCTTGGACCGTTTACGGGTTTAATATTAAGGCAAGAGACATTTAATATCAGCTTTCTTACTATTAATGTTTTTAATGCACAAGCCATATCCCACTGACATGTTTGACGCTAAGCAGGTTAAACACCCCATCACACTGTACTCCCCATCTCCAAGACTTGAATCTGGCTGACCGGTTCCACCGGACCCCTTCACAAACCTGACTTCTGTGACGGCAGACTTGTACTTGCAGGTACCACCGCAACAAGACGCACTCAACAGTGGGTGCACCAGTGCGAGTACTGCAGCAAGAGCTACAAGTGGAAGGGGGAACTAAGGACACACGTCCAGCGCAACCACATGGAGCACAAGGAGCGCTACCAGTGCTCTCTCTGCTCCCGCAACTATGCCGACCGCCGCAAGCTGCGCCACCACATGACTGTCAAGCACCAAGTGCTAGACAACTTCAAGAGTTGCCAGGTATGGATTGTAACTTTTACTGTAAATCTAGAGGCGTATATGGGAATTATGCCGTATGATATGGTATAGATCATAGCAATTAGCGTAAAATGTAGAGGTGTATGTGGGCATAGTGCTGCATGTGTCAACCACGGCAGGTGTGCCAAGATCAGTCAGGCCGTCAGCACTGTCCTGCATGATATAAATTCTCACATTACAAGAAACATCTTCAATAATAATAATAATAATAATAATAATCAATAATAATAATGATTTCTGTTGTAATTCATTGTAATTAATAATGGTACAGTAAATTAAATGATTATGACACTGGCCATCTCCCACCAAGGTTGTTTGACCTAAAAAAAGGGAAGAAATACATTCACCATCACTCAGTCCATAACTGTCTTGCCAAAAGTGTGTTGACATTGTACTTCAGATGACCACTACAAGTAACTAGCGATATACACTGCCCTAATTATTATCGCTATTTTTTTTTTTTAAACACAGGTCACATCCCACCAAGGCACGGTGACCCGGCATTTAGTAATTTATACAGAAGGTTACTAACTCTTGGTATTTTAGTCGCCTCTTACGACACACACATGGCTCGCGGAGTAAGAATTCTGTTCCAATTCCTCATGGAGATGAGGAAATTAACAAGTACAAGAACTAGTAAGAAAATAGAAGAAACCCAGAGGGGTGTGTATATATATATGCTTGTACATGCATGTGTAGTGTGACCTAAGTGTAAGTAGAAGTAGCAAGACGTACTTGAAATCTTGCACGTTTATGAGACAGAAAAAAGATGCCAGCAGTCCTACCATCATGTAAAATAATTACAGATTTCTCTTTGACACTCATTTGGTAGGCTGGTAGTACCTCCCTGGGTGGTTGTCTACCAGCCTACTACCGCAGGACGGTAGTACCTCCCTTGGTAGTTGCTGTCTACCATCCTACTACCACAGGACAGTAGTACCTCCTTGGGTGGTTGCTGTCTACCAACCTAATACATATACTTACCTAATATGTACTTACAAACATGTTGGGGACCTGTATTATGTATATTATACACAATACAGAAAATTCTCAATGTGTTTGTAAGTCGTGGACTTAACTGTAAAGTAGGACCCCGTATCCAAAGTAGGTCTTGGAACTTATTCCCTGCTGATACAGGGGATTACTGTATTGTGATTTTTCATTCTTCATTATCTTGTTTGCAGCCTCGGGAGCAGAAGATGGTGGTGACGTATAAGGGTGGGGACGAGGAGATCCCCAGCAGCGGGTATGAGCCACAGGGCACACTGCTGCCTCCTTCAGTCACCTCGCACTCCACCAGCCACCACCTGCAGCAGACAGTCGCCTCTCAACCCCCGGACATGATCCAGCCGTCCATCGTCACCATCCCAGTCTATCACCACCACCCCCACCATCACCACAATCCTCCCCCCCAGCACAGTCTGCACCCCCACCGGGGCATGTTGCAACCCCGCAGCAGCAGCAACAGCAGCTTCATCCTCTCAGCCGGGGCACATACCCTGCACCAGCACCAGCACATCACCACATGCTCAATGAGGTTTTCATGTCCCGATCGAGTGTCCCTTTTACACGGGGAAAAAGTTACTCCCTCATAAAAGCAGATCTGACATACACAAAACCCCCCATAAAAAAGACTAATAGTGATTTAATGAACATTCGCATAATTCCCCCCTATTTTAAAAATATTCAAAAAATACTATGTTTTTTATTTTTTCCCCTGATAAAACCCATCTTAAGCTAAAAAATATCGTAAATTAAATTTAAATCACCTACCATCCGATTTACGACCAATTTCGGTTCAAAAAAACGGTGTAAGTCGAAATGGCATAAGCAAACTTTATATGAATATCAACAAAAAAATTTTTGAATGCTTTATTTTTTTTATTTGGTATTTCGTGTTTTACTTTATTTTTTTATGTTGTTAGTACTGTATTTTATACTGAAAGGTTTAGGAAAAAACCTGTGTACAACACAAACATTTGTTTTTTTCCCGGGAAATTTGGCATAAAAAACACGGTGTAAGTGAGTCGTCGTAAGTCGAGCAGGTCTAAGTCGGAGGGTTTGGTGTATATGTAATTTTTTTTTCAACTAACTGGCCGTATCCTCCCGGGTGATAAAAAAAAAAAAGCAAAAGTTTTTCTTTTAATTTTAGAAAATGTTACGGAAAGGGTGTTCCAAACCCCCGCTCCCCCCCTTTTTAGTCGCCTTTTTAAAACACACATGGTTAGGGAGGCCGAATTTTTTTCCATTCCCCAGGAGAAAAAAAATTTTTATAAGTAAAAAAATCTGGCACTGAATAAGCACATAAATAATTCTGAACTAAATAACGTTTTGAAAGGAATGAATACAAGTTTACCCATCAAAGTTGAATGAGTATGAAGTGCACACTATTGCCCCATTGTAAAGTAAAAACATTGCAATTTGAACCATGGTAAGAAAGGGGCTACTGTCTTACCCCCAAATTTCAGCAGTCTAAATTAGTGCAAGTTAAAATAGTGGGAAATTTGATTTAATCATTTAAAATTTAATGTATTTTTCCCCAAAACCTTTAAATCATACAAAAAATTAACATACGTAATTGAATTTAAAAATTGGGAAAAAGCCCCATTCAAAGTTTCTTATGGGCACTAATTGAGACCTTGCTGCAGCAGCGTGTTACCCTTGTGGCTTAGCGTTTTTTTTTTGTTTATTAAATGGCCCCTTGCTGTATAGTTGTAAAATTTTACTTAATAAACATTAAAAATAAAGAATTAAAGGCAATTTGTCTGCTATTTCAGAAGTCTGTTATAATGAGGTCTTTTATACAAGGTCATTTTTTTTTCTGCTTTTCAGAAGTCTGTAAGCACTCAGTTTTTCCCTGTTTTATTTTCAGAAGTCCTTTTATTTTGGGGTCATTTTTGTTTTTTTCAGAAGTTTTTAAAAATAGGTTGTTATATCAAAGGTCATTTTTTTTCGTATTTCGAATTTGATTAGCTACATAGATTTTTGCCTGCTATTTCAGAAGCCCGTTATTTTGAGGTCATTTTTTGTTATTTCAGAATCTGTTTTTGGGTCTTTTTACATGGGTGTTTAGTGTCTGTGTGGGAGCGGGTTACACCTCATGGATACAAGCCGTGTAAAAAATACCTTGGGCGGAAAAATCTACTTTTCCTGCCACCTTCACCCTTTCTTTGGCATTAACCACACACTTCCTAGCAAAGAATACTCTTTGTGTTTTTTTGAAGATTTAAAAACCCTGTGGGGTTTAACACGAGTATGGAGGCTAATTTTTGCTGCAATGTTGGGATGGACACAACCTCATCAGTAGCCAAAAAAAAAAAATCCCCAAAAAAATTTTAGGGATTAAATTATTTTTCGGGAAAGGGAAACCCTTTTTTCTGATTTGATCCGGAAAATAAAGTTTCTTTTCCCCCTGGCATTATGGAAGTGCAGTGGGGTCTTGTTGAAATATGTCAATTTCTTAGTGCAGTTGTTTTGACTTCGTAGAGTTATTTTTCTGAAAACCCATCCAAAGTCACTAAATAAATAATTATGAAACAAAATCCCGGTTTTTAAAAGTACAGGGGGACCCCCGCATAACGTTACCCCCGAATGGACCAATTTGAAAGGGGTTTTGATGTGTTTTTTTGGGGGTCTAAAATGGACAATCTACTTACAATATTCCTTAGGGATAAATTGGGTCGTACGGACTGAACATATTCTGGAGTAAAAAATACTTTAAACCCCGGGGGCCCACTTTTTAAATAAATACAAGTTAGGGATTTACACTTCATGCTGGGTAATTATCTTAAAGTTTCTGAAGTAATTGCTTTTTCCATCATTAAGTTGAGTCATGTAAGTCAGGAGCCCCTGTAGTGGGGAGGTGGTGGTCCCTTTACAAGGAGCTTGCGAGTTCTGATCGTGAAAAACATACACGACTGCAAACGGATCACGGGAAAAGCCTGAGAGTTTCAGGTCTCACTTGCCGTGGGGTTCAAAACCCCCCCCCCATTTTGGTTTAAATTTTTGCATTCTGGTGATGCTCATAGGAGGAAACAAAATTTTGGATGTTCAAAATAATGATCAAGCGTTGATTGAACTGCAGTCACTTCCTTATAAAGCTCCTCGTGAATTTGATTTATTAAAATATGATTAAAAAAAGTAAATTTCAATTTACCCGCACATGTAGGTAGGTTTACTTTGATACAGGGACAATAAATACAATTATCGTACTAGTAATATGTTAATTTTCAGATGGGGGAAATTATTTACAGAAGTTTTCCCTCAGTCCCCCGCAGGTTTGAACCTGCCCAAACCCCGGGTCAGGTACACAGTACTTTATTTCCTGTAACGTATGGTAAATTACCTAGGATGCCCCCCCCCCCAAAAAATAGAAAAAAATATCAGCATGTTGAAAAAAGGGCCCCCTTTTGTACAGTTCAGAACTTTGAGGGGAAAAAGGCTTCATCAGTCTTATTAAGACATACAAAAATTTTGGGTGAAGCAGTTTTCCCTAAAAAATCCCTGAACAAACACCAGTGGCCCTTTTCCCCTGTTCGTGGGTACACCAGACCCTTTACAAAACCCCGGACAGCCTTTTCCTTAAATTAGTGACGAATTCATTTACGACTGGGTCTTAGGGAAAATAACTTGTCGTTCGTGAGGAGAGGCTGTAATGTCTGTGAAACCCTTTTTATTCGTTTGACTTACTGTACCTTTTTAGTTTTAATTTAAAAACAAAAGCCTCTATAGAAGAGCATTATGAGGCTTAGTACTGTTAAGCTTCTATTAGGCTGCCATAACACATGGAAAAAACCAGGTCAGTAAAGGTCTGCCAAAAACACTGGAAATACCAGTGTCAGTAAAGGCTGCCACAAAACACTGGAAATTTCCAGTGTCGGTATAAGGTCTGCCACAACACATTGGGAAAAACCGTGTCAGTTAAGGTCTGCCATAACAACTGGGGAAAAACCAGTTTAGTAAAGGCTGCCCAAAAACCTGGGGAAATACCAGTGTCTATAAGGCTGCCAAACACACTGGAAAAACCCTGTCAGTTAAGGTTGCCATAACACACTGGAAAAATTCCAGTGTTGATAAGGTCTGCCACAAAATGGAAATACCAGTGAAGTATGGTCTGCCCCAAAAACACTGGAAATACCTGTCAGTATAAGGGTTGCCACAACCACTGGAAATACCCGTGTCATAAAGGTCGCCATAACACACTGGAAAAACCTTCGTATAAGGTCTGCCAAACACATGGAAATACCATGTCATATAAGGGCGCCACAAAAAACACTGGAAATACCAGTGTCAGTACAGTGGACCCCCCCATGATGGCTACTAGCGATTATTTCGCATACCCCTTACTTTAAATTGCAAAAATTTTTTCCCCCACATACCGCTTAAAAAACCCTCTTAACCATTTTGTCTGGACGCCTCACTGTTCCCCCGGTGGCATTGTTTACCAGCCCGCCCCCGCGGGGAAATCCAAGCATACAATCGGGAATTTTTTGTATTTTTCAGTGTTTTCGGTGTTTTTCTGGAAAATAAGTGACCCTGGGCCCAAGAACTTTAGGCCAACCCTACAGAATAAGGGGAGAATTACAATTGAGATGAAGAAAAAGATCATTTATAAGTATGAAAGTGGGGGTGCTGTTCCGAGCTGGCCGGTTGTATAATAAACCCCCAAACAAACCATTGCTATATTGGTGGTACAGCTGTGCTGCTGCTGCACTGCAGCTGCTGCTGCTGCTGCTGTACACCCTTGTTGGGGGCTTATTGGAAAACCAAGACAATTAACCCCGAGGATTTGCCCCCCCAGGATAACCCCAAAAAAGTCAGTGTCATCAAAGATGTCTAATTATTTCCATTGGGGTCCTTTTCTTGTCTCCCCGGATGAACCCAAAAAGTCGACTAACACCCAGGCGAACAGGGAAAATGCCTGGGAATAGTGCTCATATTGGTGAATTTAAAGCCAGCAAAGGTTTGGGTTTTAGAGATTTAAGAATGTAGTGGCATACACAGTGTGATAAGGCTGTTCGGAAAAAAATCCAAACAGGACCTACATTCTCGGGGGAAAAGGGACTCCCAGGACACATGTCTACAGTCATTGTGATCTTCAATAAAGGTAAGTGTCATTTATTTTTCATTTAGAGACTAGACTGCACAATTATACGGCATTCTACTCAAATATTGGCATGTATCCTTTTCTTTGTGTGTGGGAAAATGTATATTTCATGTGGAAAAAATTTTTTTTTTTCATACTTTTGGGGGTTTTGGCACGGTTTTAATTTGATTTCCATTTTTTTCTTATGGGGAAAATTCTTCCCCTTAGCGATTATTTCGCATAAACCAAATTGCCCCTCTTGCAGGGTTTAAAATCTTTAAAACCGGGGGTCCACTGTATAAGGTCGCCATAACACACTGGAAATCCAGGGGTCTTATAAGGTTTTCCATAACACACTGGAAATACCATGTCAGAAAATAAGGTTTGCCACAACACGGGGGAAAATCCCCAGTGAAAGTTAAGGTCGGCCACAACCCACGGGAAAATCCCATGTCAGTAAAGGGTCTGCCATAAACACTGGAAATCCCCGTGTCAGTTTAAAATTTTCCC